CAAAAGAGTGAATTTTGGGGTGGGGAAAGCAACATTTTTTAAAAGAGTATTAGCTGACTGTAGGTCAACACAATTGGAATTTTTGCATATATATATATATATATATATATATATATTATATATATATTATATATATATATACCCGTGTTTTCCCAAAAATAAGACCCTGTCTTAATTTTTTTTCAACCCTGAAATAAGCACTTGGGCTTCTTTTTTGGGGGGTCTTATCATTTTGGGGTGCATGGAGGAAACCAGAGGAAATGGCAGGGACCGGCTGTGCATGTGTTTAAATATTTTTGGGGAGGGCTTATTTTAGTGCATGCACTCAAAAGCCCAATTGGGCTTATTATCAGGGGACGTATACATACATACATAATATACATATACATATACATATACATATACATATACATATACATATACATACACACACACACACACACACACACACACATACACACACACACACACACACACACACACACACACAACACACATATATAATATATATATATATATATAATATATATATATATAATATTATATATATATATATATTATATATATTTATATTTCTCTGATAAAGAAATAAAGGGCTCCTGGATTGGAGCTGAAAAGCGAAAGGGAAGCAGTACGCTCCCTCCCACATATTGGGGTAGACCAGGTGCCTCAATAGAAAAACACTTACATACATACATACATACATACATACGTACATATGTATGTATGTATGTATGTATGTAGGTCTTTGGTTATTCGGGTTTTCTCCCGTGTAAAATTGGAAGTGTCTTGCAACATTCCGACGAAGTCTCATTCGTCATCTTCAGGCTGGTGTTTTCGGCTTCGTGCTTCTAGGAGCAATGAGCACGAAGCCGAAAACACCAGCCTGAAGATGACGTATGAGCCTTCGTCGGAACGTTGCCAAGACACTTCAAATTTTACGCGGGAGAAAACCCGAATAACCAAAGACCTACATATATATATAATATATATATATATATATATATATATATATATATATATATATATATATATATATATGAGTGTGTGTATATATAATTTTATTCAATTTTAAAAATATAAAGATTACAGGGTGCTCAAACTGAACCTGAGAACATGGCAAAGGCAAACATCTCCATCTCTGTTCTCTTTCAAATCCATTCAGCCACATTAAAAAAAAAAAAAATTACCTTGCCCAAACACTCTCTCCTTTCAACTGAAGAATAGGTTGTACTTCATATATCACTGAACAGCCTAAATTCTGGTTGTTGGCTCTCAAATAGCAATTGTGCTTTCCTTGGGACAGCTCCTCCACTGTCAGAATCGGCAAGTATATCGGTGCGAAGATGAGTAGCTATCACGTTTGCCGGGAAGCACACAAATCTTAACGATCTTCCAGCAGGCCTACTGTTCCTCATAGGGTGCTTAAAATAAAGGAGCCTCTTGCTAATTTCCCAATTTTCCCTTTTGTGATAGAAAGGCAATTACACTGCTAAGTTAAAAAGGTAACGGTTCCCCTCGCACATATGTGCTAGTCGTTCCCGACTCTAGGGGGTGGTGCTCATCTCCGTTTCAAAGCCGAAGAGCCAGCGCTGCCCAAAGACGTCTCTGTGGTCATGTGGCCGGCATGACTCAATGCCGAAGGTAACGCTGTTCCCTTCCCACCAAAGGTGGCCCCTATTTTTCTACTTGCATTTTTACGTGCTTTCGAACTGCTAGGTTGGCAGAAGCTGGGACAAGTCACGGGAGCTCACCCTGTTATGCGGCACTAGGGATTCGAACCGCTGAACTGCCGACCTTTCAATTGACAAGCTCAGTGTCTTAGGCACTGAGCAACTGCGCCCCTCTTTTAAAAAGCCGGGCATTTTGGACAAGTATTTGTTGCCTTGAAAAGCGAGATAGAACATAGAACAAGGTTGGAAGGAACCTTGGAGGCCTTTCTAGTCCAACCCCATGCTCAAGGTAGAAGACCATATACCATCCTGGTCAAATGGTTGTACAGTCTATTTTTTATTTTAACAGTTTATTTAAATATTTTGACATTATATACGTAAGTGCTTAATGAACAGCATATTGTCTGGATCAATTAATTTTTATACAATAATACTTTTTTTACTCTGTCAGGCCTGGAAGCCACCATTTACATTGGGCCTTCAGGCCTGCCACATTTTCTACTGTGGGAAACTGAGAGGGGGGATTATATGGAGTATGCGAGATATATAGTCAAAATAACATTCCTTTCTCAGAGAGTCAAGGACATCTTGCCCTGGCACTTTGAGTCGTGTGACTGGGAGGCATTTCCAGTTGGGATGGTGCCTAATTGGGCCATGTGATGGACATGTGGGTGCTGGGCAGCGAGTTGAACTTTCACTTGGGTGGAGAAAACCTGGAAACTTTCAGATTCGGGTTTTCCCAGATGTGCCAATATGACATCTGTAATAAAATGGAACTTTGAGGAATCTCAGGCCTCGGAGCCTTCTTTCGTTGGGGGTGTTGCTTGAACCCTGACACACTCCTAATTTCTACCTCTACTGTCCAACCATTTACAAAACAATGTTCGAAAATACTCTGTATCTTCTTTTTCTTTTATTTTTAATGTCCATCTATCCATACCTACAAATTTTTAAATTACATCATCCTCTATGGGCATTTCCTCATGTTTCCAGTACTGTGCAAATGCAATTCTTGCTGCTGTCAAGACATGTAATATTAAGTACAGGTTCCCTTTATCATACTTTTCAGGTATTACGCCTAGCAAGAATATTTCTGTCTTATAATCTATATGGTTGTCAGTCTATTTTTGAAAACTTCCAGTGATGGAGTATTCACAACTTCTGGAAGTAAACTGTTCCTTTGATTATTATTTGTTTTCGCTGTCAGAAAATTCCTCCTAACATGTAGATTGGATCTCTCTTTAACACGCTTCCACCCATTACTTCTTGTCCTGCCCTTTGGTGCTTTGGAGAATAAATCAGAGAATCTTCTCTGTGATGTCCTTTGAAGTACTAGAAGACAATTATGTGAAGAAGATGCTGGGACTCAACCTTATATGCACAATAAGTCCAAGCATGATGCAGTTGAAGGTCATGTTGTGACCCCAACTCCCGAGCCTGTCCTAACAGAGGAAGAGGACTCAGAAGGTGATGGGGAGGAACTGATAAGGCCTCCCTCTCCAGGACCCTCCTCTCTGGCTATGCCTCAGGTTCCATCTGAAGGCCAAGAGGAACAGCCTGGGATATGCCAGGAGGAAAGCATATCAGAACAACAACAGATAGGGAGCAAGGATGATGAATCCTGGCTTGATCCCAGGCAGCGTCGGAGGGAGAAGCGTGCGCAGCAACGAAAGAGGCGTGGGAGGGCCAGAGACTGAGCTGAGTCACTGAGCCACACCCCACAAGGAATAAAAGTGGGTGTGATTGCTCTTCAGGCTTTGTGACGGTCAAAGTTAAAAACCTGAGAGTCACATCGCGTTACCTGAAATCTGGCTTGTGCATATTTGGATCGGACCTTGGCTAACTCTTGCTTCGTGGATTACTTTTTGCTACTGAACCGGACTGAGGATAAACTCTCTCTCGCTTACTGTGAGTGAAAACTGACTTGGCAGGCATTTCGCAGTTTAATGCCAAAACTCTTATCTGCAAGGGTTTCTAGTCTGATTGCTTAATAAAATCTTGGCAGGCATGCCTGGTTGTGTGTTTGCCTGTGTGGGGAAGGGGGAAAGAACAGGTCAGTTCTTTGGACACTGCACAAGGATGAGTAGGAAGATATGCTACAATAGCTCAATAGGTTTTTAAGCAAAGCTTGAGAGTAAACTAAACTATGCATCTGAATGGTCAAACAATTGGCAACTCCAAATCTCTGCTAACAAATGCTCAGTCCTGCACAATGGCAATAGAAATAAGAACATCAAATATTTGCTGGCTGGAAATGATCTAAAAGTTGACCCGCACTCTGTCAAGGACCTAGGAGTACTCACTTCAAAAGATCTAAGTCCCAGAGCTCACTGTAACATCATTGCAAAAAAGGCATTAAGAGTTATCTATCTTATTTTACAAAGTGTTTTCTCTGGTAACGCTATACTTCAAACTAGGGCATATAAAACCTTTGCCAGACCTATCCTTGAATACTACTCACCTGCCTGGAACCCTCACTGTATTTCAGACATCAATACATTAGAGAGGGTCCAGAGATATTTTACTAGAAGAGTACTCAAATCCTCTGCTCGAAATAAAATTCCTTATCTCAGCAGGTGTGAAATTTTAGGTCTGGATAGCCTCAAACTACGCTGTCTACATTCCGATCTAGGCTTAGTTCCTAAGATTATTTACCAAAATGTTCTATCTGTTAATTTCAACCATAATAACAATAGATTCAAACTCCATGTCATTCGCTCTAATCTTGATTGTAGGAAATATGACTTCTGGAATAGAGTAGTAAATGTCTGGAACACTCTACCTGTTCCTGTTGTTAGTCTCTCTAACCCCCATACCTTTTACCTTAAACTGTCTACCATGGACCTTTCATATTTCTCAAGAGGTCCCTATGGGGGTGTGCATAAGCGCACCAGCGTACCTACCATCCCTGTTGTACTGTCCACATTTATATGTACTCATTCTATGTGTTTATGGCTACGTTTTGCCTATTTATATCCTTTTATTTGTGCCAAAAAAATTTTCATGTGTCCATGTCTATGTCTATACAGTTACTTGTTTCCTTGTACTTGTTGACAAATAATAAATAAACAAACAAATAAACAAATAAATAAATAAATAAATAAATAAATAAATAAATAAATTATAGCTACTGCAGAAACCGCTCACTAAGTTTGTGTCTCTTGACGTTATGTCCACCTTCATGAGGTAACTGAAGCACAAATTGAAGTCCATCAGGCCTTGCCTCTTGATGTATGCCCTTCACACCAACGCTGAAAAAGATCTTGTAAACGTTGACATTTCACTTTATGAATGTTAATCTCCTGTTTCAGCTGAGGCCCTTCTTACCTTGGCAGACCCCCAATCTGGATATCCCTCTAGGAGCACTTAAAGCCACACCATTGAAGGCTACTTCTTCCCCTACAAAGAGAGTTACAGATTGCACAAAGGTGAGAGATCTTCAGGTTAACTGACCGTAACAGTTTAGCTTGGTTTAGTTTCACATTCAACATTCCTGTGATTTCAACAAGAGCCATGTGCCACTGCCCTTTATTCAACCGTATGCCCACAATATCCCTGGTAGGCACAATGACATTAGGAACTCTGGGTTCTTTAGACAATTATATCAGTAATTTAGTACATTCATACCATGATGTTGACTTGAATGCAAATATTGGAGTTAATATCCCTCTTCTCAAACCCATTTAAAATGGTGTCTAGCTCCCAGAAGGAAAGTTATTATTACCAGGCCTAACAATCCAAAAACAAACACAGTAATGTATCAAAATTTCAAAGGTCCACTTGGTAGATAATCTGGACCTTTGTTCTTCTGAATGAGAACAATCTAACAGCTAATTCAATTTTGGAGGCTCTAATGGGGCCAATGTGATGCACACCTAAAATCTATAAAAACTTCAGGAGGAGATTTTATCCCCCTGAATTCACCACCTTAGCAGCTGAGCAAGTTTTCCTACTCATTGTCATCTCATTCTTTCAAAACAAAGGAAGTGTAAACCTAGCCAGTCTATTTAATAAATCAGCAAGCTGTATGCTAAATATCTCTACTCAAAATTATTCAAGTGGATTGAAAGTGAAAACATCTCCCTTAAGGAATAGACAGGTTTCAAATGGGAATGATCAACCCCTCAACCACTTTTCTTGTTTTATTCATTTTAGTACTGTTCGTCTTTGATCGTATTAATAACATTTGATTTTATTTTATTTGACTCTTGATCACAGCCTGGTTATCCGTCAGTTAACTGAGAAATACTCATCCCAGCTCAGAGACTTCTGGTCACAGTCTTCATTGATTTTAAATCTGGCTTTGATTTAATTCCAAGGGAGAGGCTACAGAAAAAAAATCTATGGGAATCCTCAGTGGATAAAAAGTTTATTCTTCTCATCCAGTTCCTCCACTCAATACTACTTTAAGAATCAAATGGTCTTTGCTGAAGTCATTTCTTTGCACTAGAAAGAGTGCAGAAAATATAAACCAAGATGATTAGGGGACCAGAGGCTAAAACATACAATGGATGGTTGCAGGAACTGGGCATAGCTAGTCTAGTGAAGAGGAGAGGAGAGGAGAGAGAGAAGAGAAAGAAGAGAAGAGAAGAGAAGAGAAGAGAAGAGAAGAGAAGAGAAGAGAAGAGAAGAGAAGAGAAGAGAAGAGAAGGACCAGGGGAGACATGATAGCAGTCTTCCAATATTTGAGGGGCTGCCACAGAGAGGAGGGGGTCAAGCTATTTTCCAAAGCACCTGAAGGCCAGACAAGGAATAATGGATGGAAACTGATCAAGGAGAGATTCAACCTGGAAATAAGAAGATATTTTCTGACAGTGAGAGCAATCAACCAATGGAACAGAAGTTGCCTTCAGCAGTTGTGGGAGCTTCATCACTGGAAGCTTTCAAGAAGAGCCTGGACTGCCAACTGTCAGAAATGGTGTAGGGTCTCCTTCATTAACTACAAGGTCCCTTCCAACTCTGTTAATCTGTAATCTGTAATCTGGTGCTGTTACTATCCAAAGAGGTGAGGCATGGTCATCTTTTAGCTTCTCTACTTTTTACTTGCACATCAACACAATAATCCAGGTTCTCTTTATCCTCATTTGTTACTACCCTATATTAAAAAGGTCAAGTGGTTGCAGATCTTTACTATACAAATAATATTACCATCATGCCCATCTCCTTAGTGGGAATGGAAAGATCACTGGGTATCTGTGTAGTGGAAAAACACTGCAATATGCACCAAACCATCAAAAATCCCAAAAAACTTGTAATTCAAGATTCTTTAAATGCAGCCTTACAATAAAGTAAAATAAGCTCTTCTAGTTATGTTTCATGGGTGCTTCATCTAGAAGGCCTAACACCAATCTGACATGTCTGAAGGTACAAATCTTCTTACACAGCTTCTTAAAGTGGCAGTAACCCTGCTGCCTCATTCCCATTGCATCAGCTTTCAGTTGCCTCCGCTTACAACCTTACGTCAGCTTACAGCTATTAAATCTACATACCCTGGCAGTTGCCACCGGTTCGCCATACACACGCTCGCTCGCTTTGTGCACGCACCTTCCGCACATGCGCCTGGCCTCGAAAATGTGGCTTAATAGGACGGCATAGCGCCAGGGCGGGCAGGCAGGCGGGTGGGCCCAGGCTGGCCCACCCCACCTGCAATCTCCACTACCGGTTCACTCAAACCGGTTTGAACTGGCTGAATATCACTTCTGGTCATTAATAAGTAAAATTGAATAACAATGGATGGGTCTCAGAATGTCATTTTATAAGATCACCATCTCATTCACAAAATATCAGATGGAATCCAGAAGACATCTTATCTGATTTGTGATGATCCCATGTTTTCCCATCTCTCCATCTTAAAGAGAAAGAATTTGTTTAGAAAGGACTGCTTATTGTATTTTCATACTTTAAAAGTACCTTTCATTTTGTAAAATAAAAGGAATGATATGATGGGATGCAAATCAAGTAGGACTTGTTTCTAGCTGAGGTGCCTAATTCACATTTTTTTCTAACCATGATATTATTCCTTTTGTTCTAACATTTGTTTTAGTTACTTTTATGTATTGTGCTGAATTATTATGATATAATAATTGAAGGTTAGGGTTAGCTAGTCAGATAGACTTTTTTTTTTAAAAAAAATCCTTCATCAGAGAAAAAAAAAACATAGTATTATAATTTCAGATAATAAAGATAGGAGTACTCTTTTTTATTCTGTTAATTTCTTTCTTTCTTTCTTTTTGCTGAAATCATAGTTTCATTTTGGAGCCTTGGATAGCAATAACATGTTTTCTTTTCTTTTTCCACCAATAATTTGAAATGGTGCAGTCATCTCATTCTCCATGCTAGATTTAAGCTCTATTGATGGGACTATTTATATATAAATTTTTATGCACTATATCTCATGAGTTTTATTACAACATATGATAGCATTAAATAGGTTATCAATTTGAGGATGCTGGGCTCTGGAATGACTTGGTGGCCTTTCATCCAAGCATTGATTGCATGTTTAGCTTAGTTTGTTATGTCATATTCTGTGTCGCATGTAAAAAGTACATCTTCCTTCCCCTGTCCTCACCACTTTCTATAGAGGGACAATCGAGAGCATCCTGTCATATTGCGTTACTGTCTGGTTTGGAAGCATTACTGCTTCGGACAGGAAGGCAGTGCAGAGAGTGGTGAGGACGGCAGAAAACATTATTGGCAGTTCACTTCTTTCTATCTAGGACATGGCATATAAGCGATGATGGATCAGGGTTCTCAGGATTGTCTGGGATGCTACACATCCTCTTCCTGACCTGTTTTCCTTGCTACCTTCTGGGAAGAGGCTTGGTGGTATCCAAAGCAGAACATCCAGATTCAGTCAGTTTTGTTCCATTTAGCATCAACCTAGTGAAGTCTCAAGTTTCCTTTTTCCACTATGTATTCAAAATGGACAGTGGTTAATATTTATATGTACATAAGTACATATGTAGGTATATATAAATATATGTAGATATGTAGATACATACAGTATATGTATATATGTAGATATATATATATATATCTACATATATACTACAGATATATAGATATATAGATATATTAAATATATATCTACATATATATTTTAACCAGAATTTTAAATATTTTAACCAACTTATTTACAATGACGTGGGAAAACACCAGAGATTTTAATTTTTTGCACACACACACACACACACACACACACACACACACACACACATATATGTAGGTATATATACATATATGTATGTATGTATGTATGTATGTATGTATTACTCTCTTTCCCTCTTTAGCCAGGTATGTATATAGCATGTGTATATGTCTGTTATGTATGGTATGGGTTGATATATATATTCTTTTGAGATCAGGCAATAGAATTTCATTTTTAAGGTGGACCAGTGTGCTCACAGTAAAAACGACAATAAAGGTTATCTTATCTCAGCTCAGCTCACCACACAACACCATACCTCACCTCACTTCACCTCACCTCACCTGATCTCACCACACCTCACCCTATCCTACCCTACCCTACCCTACCCTACCCTACCCTACCCTACCCTACCCTACCCTACCCTACCTACCCTACCTTATCTTGAGATACTTTGGCTCATACTGGTTTTAATGCTGCATTGAAGTACGAAGCATTTGATTGCCCTTGGATGCCATTGAACTATGACAGTGTTCTTGGTTTTTTTCTTCTTATTTATTCTTTTGTTCCACTGATTTTTAATCTTGTCTTTGCCATCCAGCATTGCAAGTGAAAGATGGCTGGCTAGATAGGTCAATATAACAACAACAACAACAACAACAACAACAACAACAACAACAACAATAGTGAGAGTATTCCCTCTTATCTCAGTTTCGAGTTTACTTTATCTTCCATCTATGACCTCTTATTAATCTCTACCCCAAGTTGTCTTGGCTTGTCTCCTGCCCAAGAGAAGAACATCATATACATCTTCTTGCCTATTTTATTGCGGCATAATAAGAAAGAATGACAGTCAATATGATGAAATTGTTTGGGCTGGAGACCAATTTCCCGACCACCCTAAGCTGTAGAAACGGGACAGGTTGCTGTCTCTCATGGGTTCTTATGATCATAAAATTGGGAGAGCTGTTGGAGAAGAGGAATAAATCTATCAAGATGAAGAAATAAAAATGCTCTACAATTGACATTCAATCTCTCCTTTTTTTTAATTCTCAAGCATCGTGACTCAGAGATTCAGTCGGAATAAATAATAGGTGGCGCATTCTAAAAGCGGACTCCATTCTTTTCTTGTTCATTCTTGGCCCTCTTTGCATTCCAGCTGCATTTTGAAGATGTGGGAGAGTGGAAATTACTCATATTTCTTCTCACCTCAAATAGAAATAATCGGTGCCCTTGTCAAGTCTCAGTACTTGTC